TATATATATATTGGGACTACTTAGGAACGCAATGTGTTTCCTACACTTTCTTATGCTTATTTTCCTTTTCTAAACAGTAAGGAACTTAAAATGTTTTTACACATTATGCAGTCCCCTCATTCCACAATAAATGTGACTGCCTGTGCAGGATTCTTCTGGAATATTTTGGGATAATGACAGTTTGGCAGCTCTACTGGCTTTGGAGCTAAAAGCTGATCTTCTTGTTCTTTTGAGTGATGTGGACGGTTTATACAGTGGGCCTCCAAGTGACCCACGTTCGAAGCTTATCCATACATACATAAAGGAGAAGCATCAAAGTGAAATTACTTTTGGAGACAAATCTAGAGTGGGAAGAGGGGGCATGACTGCTAAAGTAAAAGCTGCTGTCAACGCAGCTTATGCTGGCATCCCTGTTGTTATCACCAGGTGTGTTTCAATACTTGGTTGTGTCATCAGGAGTGATAAACTATCCTATTATGTTTAGAAAAATCCATACTAAGTTTAAAAGAAAATTCAGTATCCAATTTGTATACAATAATGGGGCGAGATGGTTTATAAAAAAAATGTAATGATAGTATTAGCTTCTGGTTAGTGAAAATTAATTGCGGGGTAAGGAAAGTGTGGTCCGTTTTCTTCCTAGAAGATAGTGTCCCAAATATTCCAAATTTATAAATAACATTGTATTAGATTTGTAGTTTCTTGATTTATAGTCTTCGTTGCATTCTGAGTCCAACATGCTGCCCCTAATTGTGTACTAATCTCTTTGCTTGCTCCATTTTCAAGTGGGTATGCTCCTGGAAACCTCAGTAAAGTCCTTGAAGGACAACGTGTTGGTACCCTCTTCCATCAAGATGCACATTTATGGTCTCCAGTTAAAGAAGTTGATGCAAGAGGGATGGCAGTTGCGGCCAGGGAAAGTTCAAGAAGGCTTCAGGTACGCTTGTTTGCATCATGTACAAAGTTTAATTTTGGCTGCGACTAAATCTACTTCTGCAGTTGTAGGCACTCTCTGTCCCCATAACTTTTTAGCAGCATAAGTAACTCGGTAACACTTTCTACAGGCCATGACTTCTGAAGAAAGGAAAAGAGTTCTTCTGGATGTAGCTGATGCCCTTGAAGCAAATGTAAGGTTGATCAATGTTGAAAATGAAGCTGATGTTTCTGCCGCACAAGTAGCGGGATATGAAAAATCCTTGATATCTCGGCTGGCTCTAAAGCCTGGGAAGGCAAGGGATCCAAATTTGGCTATGTTAGATAAATGTTTAGTTACATTCATTTTCTATTATTATTACTGCTTACTATCCTTTGGTTTCTGTTTGATTATGTTTTGTACAATGTTCTCACTGGACCCCCCTTTGTTTCTCAAAACTGGTGTCCCCTTCAAACTTTTTTCTGAATTCTGCTTGTTATACTTGGCAGATTAAAAGTCTGGCAAACTCTATCCGTGTGCTTGCAAACATGGAAGATCCAATTGGTCGTGTTTTGAAAAGAACTCAGGTAAGGGGAGGGGTTATAAAGATTACTACTTCTGGCCCTTGATATTTCAACACAACAATGCTCAAGACTCAAGAGTGTGGACAAATATTTTATTTTTTTAAATAAAGAGAAAATGAATTCAAAGTATTAGCTCCACTATGATAACTGAGATAAGTTATCTATTGTCAAATGGAGCACCATAATTATATATTTTTTTTTCGCTGATAATTAATCCCTGATGATTCTGCTGATCGCACTTGCTTCCAGCTTGCAGAAGGTCTCGTCTTAGAGAAAACATCAAGCCCATTAGGTGTTCTCCTGATTGTATTTGAGTCTCGTCCTGAAGCACTAGTACAGGTAAACAGTGAGACTTTGGAATATCAAACTGCATGTGAGATGCAACTCTGTACATCTGTCTGCAACCTAACATCTGGGCAATCAGATCTCACTTAAGAACCTTATTTAAGGACTCTGGGAGAGATTCTTTTTTGCTCATATTGAGTCTCTGAGAATAGTTTTATACCGTGAGGTTGATTTTCATTTCTTCCTCATTATGAACCTATGTTTTTTTTTTATGATTTGAATAGATAGCTTCATTAGCGATCCGAAGTGGGAATGGGCTTCTCTTAAAGGGTGGAAAAGAGGCTAAGAGATCAAATGCAATTTTACACAAGGTTTGTTTTCTTTAAATCAGAATATGCAGAAAAATAATATTTTAATTTTCTTTTTAATTTTCCATTGAAATGCATCAAATTTTATTTATACTATTTTTAATGAAAAATATGTAGATTATAACTGGAGCCATCCCAGATAGTGTTGGTGGAAAACTAATTGGACTTGTCACTTCAAGAGAGGAGATTCCAGATCTTCTTAAGGTGAGTAGAGCAGAGAATGATAACTGATTCCTTGGTCTACTTTCAGATTATAATTGATACTAAACTCAAAAATATTTTCCAGCATGATGACGTGATTGATCTTGTGATCCCAAGGGGAAGCAATAAACTGGTTTCTCAAGTCAAGAATTTAACCAAGATTCCAGTTCTGGGGCATGCTGGTTAGAAATTTAAATTTGTTCTTGTATATAATTTGCAGTCTGTGCTCCATTTTTCCTATAGTATTGTTGTTTTTGAGAAGAAGATGAATGTGAGTATTTTGGTAAAAATAAAAAAAATGCATTGTTTGCTATGCAGATGGCATATGCCATGTGTATATTGATAAGTCTGCTAATATGGATATGGCAAAGCAAATTGCTGTGGATGCAAAAGTAGATTATCCAGCAGCCTGTAACGCAATGGTAATTTATCTGTTATGTACAATTTCTGGATAATAATATATTTTGATGCATCCTAAAAGTTTTCCAGTTTAAATTTAGAAATTACAGTCTAATTGTGTGTTTATTATTCTCAGGAAACACTTCTTGTCCATAAGGATTTAAAGGATACAACTGAGTTCAATGATCTTGTGGTTGACCTTCGCGCTGAAGGTACAATTTTCATGCAGACAACCGTTTCCTTGTAAACTATGAGCTCTCGTTTAGTTACTCTTGGATGACAAAAAAAAAATAAAATCAATCCTAGTTTGTCATTTAGGTCTAGTAATCCAAAATAACGCAGTAGTTCAAATTTTTTTCGGTTACATAAGGTAGTTCCAATTCAGTTCCTTTGAACAGTTGGATTTTGTTCTTCCGAGTTCTAACATTCATTGACTAAATAACCATTTTATGGAAAGCACTTGGTGATTGAGGATGAGAGTAACTAAATTTTCCAATCACCACAGGCATGCAACAGAATAATATTATGTTGTTTCTCTTCCATTATTTAAAACTTGGAGAACTTTCAAGGAGACCCCAAGAAAAATTCTTACAGTGAAACATGCCATCGGAAGGATCTAAAGAAATTCAATCCATGATATATCATTTTCAGGTGTTACTTTATATGGTGGACCAAGGGCAAGCTCCTTGCTCAATATTCCACAAGCGCATTCATTCCATCATGAGTACAGTTCAATGGCTTGCACTGTTGAGTTTGTGGATGATGTGCATGCAGCCATTGCTCATATACATGAACATGGAAGGTACGTTAGAGTTTCATATCACATGAAATGCATTTCAATGACTTGTATGAAGCTGTGTCATTTATTTTTTCCTTTCCTCCGTTTGGCAGTGCACATACTGATTGCGTTATTGCAGAAGACCTAGAAGTTGTAGATGCCTTTTTAGGTCAAGTTGACAGGTAAGAATGCTTCATTCCCGTCTTGTTTCCAGAAGATCTGTGCAATCTTATTTAGTGCTATCATACTAGTTTAATTCTCCACATCAATCAGAATATTTCCATAAGAGCAGACAATTACATAGAGTTAGGCCGACCAAAATGGGGACTTTAAAGCCTTTTCGGCATGAAGTGGCTGCTCATAAGAATTAAACCAAGCTCTTGCAGTTTAGCAACCAAGTTTCTTCATTGCACAGAAAAATGTCCCCGAGGTTTTCCTTGTTTAACAGTAAATTTTTGATTGTTCTATGCGTACGCAGTGCTGCTGTTTTTCACAATGCAAGCCCAAGATTTTGTGATGGTGCTCGATTTGGACTTGGCGCAGAGGTATACTACCATCTAGGAATGATTTTATTAAGATTAGTGATATGCTGATATGTAAAGTCTTTAGTCTTGTATTTAATTCTATTCTTTTACCCAACAGGTTGGGATAAGCACGAGTCGAATTCATGCTCGGGGCCCTGTAGGAGTAGAAGGATTGTTAACAACAAGATGGTATGAAACCTCAAATTTTGTTCTTGTTGAAATTCAGAAAACCTCAATTCATCTTGATTTTACATTGAGCTTTACTATTGTTATATCGCGACTTTATTGGACATGCAGGATTCTCAGAGGAAATGGACAAGTTGTGGACGGTGATAAGGGGGTTATTTACACCCACAAGGACCTCCCAATTGAGCCCTAAATTTGCCAACAATCATGACCACCCATCTCTACCCATTCCCAGGTGCCAGGTGGTCACTGGGAAGAGAGAGAGAGAGAGAGAGAGAGAGAGGAGATAATAAAATATGTTGCATTGGTTATTGGCCTGATGCTTTATGTTATCTTAGGTATGATTTGTAGATTATTACTCGCTTAAGTTTTTAGAACCGAGCGAGGTCTCCTCGCTTACGCAATTCCTCAAGTTTTAAGAGTAGCAAACATAAATAAGTAAGAATTGCACGAGGAGTGTATGATGACTTTTTTGGAGTGTCAAAAGGTAGTTTATGAAAATATGAAGGCATATGTGGAAAATTTCCAATAAGTACCTAGACACAATATCTGCTTGTAACATAACCAACTCATTATCAGCCGAAAGTGGAATGACGAAACTTTGAGCTCAGCTAAAAGTCATCGACACGATTCTAGTAACTAACGGCCTCCTGTAAGGTAGGTAGGTGAGTCTTCTTTTCTTGCCAATATGAACGATGTGGAAAGTAAGTTTGTTAGCAATAGAAAACTCAAAAGTTTGGTAAATGCTACCACAAAGAAATGGTATAATAATATAAATTGCCTAAATGGTTATTTTCATATTAAAAGCAACTGTTGTTGCATAATAGCCTTCCAACAAACTCACATCCCTCAAAGTTTCAATGAACTACATAATCATCTACTTTTAATCATATAATTTGAACTTATAGCAATAGGAGTTCCAAAAATGCAAGCTAAACCATGTTCCCGAATCTCTTCTACCAAATAATATCTCAGGTAAAAGTTTATGCTGCAACGAACTGCTTAAGTTTCTGCAACCAATTCGCATATTCTCTAGTGTCTTTGTTGATCATGTACTCATGCAAGAAATTGGTTGTGCTGGGCTTGATTCCTCTAATCTCCAAATACTTGTGGAATGCCCTCTGAAGGTTCTCATCCAAATCACTGCAATGGAGCAGACATTCGTGTGTCGATTAGAGAAGACTATATAAACAATAATCTTGAATTAATGCTAAACAACTACAAGTAATCGAGGCTTACTGGAAGTCAGGCCCCTCATAGGCAATCTGATCCTCAGAATTCTCTGGATTTTTCACTGCCAAGCTGTCAATTTCAATCTCATCAGCAAAAGCAGTGCAGCTAAACTCGAGAGAAGGTCCATCACTCTTGGAGACAGTCACGAGCAACGGGAGGCTGGACTTATTAGCACTTCCATCCTCATCATCACCATCCTGGTCACCGTCGTTTTCTTCATCACCAGTAACTAGATCAGGCATGTGAACTTCAACTACTATGTTTTCACCCTGATATGTTCTTTTCAGTGTCACTATTTGGGCTCCGGGAGTATCTTCAATTTGAAAAGGGAAGCCACTTGGAATCTCTTCAGCCTACAAAACGAGAACTCCGGTAGTGATAATTATGGCAATATTTTAACATTAATGAATCACATAATTCAAATAGTTGGAAGCATCACAAAACAGGAAATTTACAAGTACCAAATCATACACACAATCATTCAAAATCATACACACCCACACACAGAAACATATATTACACTAACAACTTAAGTTCATATAGTTCTTTTACAAGTAGTAAACTTTCCCAAAAATCTAGCTAAAGAGGCAACTCAAAACCAAGTTAATGAACAGAGATCCACAAACCCATGATCAGCATCAGTAGTCTGGGATCTATTGCAAAAGAATATGTTAAATTGACCAAATAAGAAAAACTTAATTCTAACTCAAGGGCTCATACAATCTCTGCATGTTGGAGTTTATTAACCATTTCCAAACACAATTATTCGAGTTAAATGGGGAGGGTTTTTCATTTTCTACGGAACCAAATACAAGATAACTTTAAGATCATGTTCTTGCCCATTTCCCTAAATTTTCTCAGAAACCAAACAGTCCAAAAAAGTAAGAGACAACAAGAAAATGTCACCTTGTCAAGATCATCGGTCTCCTCAGCGCACTTTATCTCTGCATCGATAACCTTGAGAAGAGACTGGTCCGAACTGTGGCTGGAATAGTAGCGAGGGGTCGGAACAAAAGGGGTCAGAGTGGACTTGTAGGAGTGATTGACGTGGTTTATGGCGTTGACGAGAGCACCATGGTAAGATCGATTGCCTCGAGCGAGTCGGCTGGCCAATGGAGCCAAAGAGGAGGCCGATCTGCGAAGAATTGAAGTGAAAGCCATTTTCTTTGGAGTTGCTGCAGAAAACAGAGTGAAGGGTTTAGGGTTTTAGAGACGAGCAAGCGCGGGTTTGGGGCTTCTAAGTTGTATTGAGGGTTTTAGGGTTGAAAGGGCGTTGAAGTCGGTAACTTATACTGAAAGTTGGTTCTCTACGCCACATATACGTGGGATTTTTGTTTTTGTTTTTGGTTTTTAGCTCAAGTTGTTATAAAGAAAAAACCTTTTAGAACTTTGTTGACCTATTGGGCTGGTCTCAAATATTGTTCCTTTTGTTTTTGATGTTGAGGCCCAAATGAAAAAGAAAAAAGAAAAACAACAAAACTATTTTATATTAATTCCATGAGATATATAAAGAACCAGTCTCAGTCTTCATCAGAGAGGGAGCATTCTCATGTCAAAGATCTTTGTCTTCTTAAACTCTATCTGAACTGTAACTGTTAGGATCCCACATTTTAAGCCCCTTCCTCTGAAAAAGTTGAGTTCTTTAGCTTTTATGTTAGCTGTTGCATTAATGGTGGAATATTATGAAAGCTAGGGCTCATCTGTAGGACCCAGAAACTCAGAAAGGGTCCCTAGAGAGAGTTATAGAGAGGGAAGGGATGAAGGAGGTCTTTGGGAGTCCAGGGAAGGTGAGTGGGCTGGTACTGAGAATTGGGCAGTGCTCTTTCGCTGCTGCTTCTATTGGAGTGATGGTCTCTGCTCATGGCTTCTTCAACTCCACTGCATTTTGGTATATTATTTGCCCTTCTTATCAGCTCTTTTTTATTGTGCAGTTTCACAAAAATTTCCATGGATTTTTTTTTTCTGGGTTTCATCTCTCGTCCTTTTTCTTAGGGGTCTGGGGGGAAAGGGTTATTTATTCTGTGCTTACTTAAGCTCATGGGGATCTTTCCCGTGGGTATGTTAAAATGCTTAAGGTTTTCCTCAGGGATTTCAGATAAGTGAATTTGTAGCAAATTTCACTCAAATACAATTCTCCAATACTAGAAAGAATGGATTTATGAAAGAAAAAAAAAATTGTGGGCGGATTCCCTATTCTGTTTCACCAACTACATAGAAAATAAGGCGGGGGAACCAGAGAATGAAAATAGAACAAAGTTATATAAGTTTTCCACATCAGGTTAGGTAGATGAGTGGATTGTTTGGTGAGTCTAGGAATATTGGCCATAACTGGACGCCTTTAAGATTAAACAGCATCTGTAATACACCCCTCTAGCATTAGCAGGATTGTTTATGTTTATAAGTCTCTCGGTATCTTTTGAAATGTGTGTTTAATGGTTGCCAACTTGCAACCAAGCTTCGGTTTTAAATTGGTAAAGGCAGATTTCATGTTATAGCCCTGAGCGTTGATTTTTTCCTTACCATTCACTTGCTAATATATGTTTGAAATGGTAGTTCTGGAGTTCTTCTGTGGTTGATCTTGACCTTCATTTAATTCTTCAGTACCCATCTGTTGATCTCTGAGCTTAAATCTGTACATTTTAAAGATAAGATAAGGTTCCTGGCAATCTCCTCCTATTAAATTTATGCCTTCCACTGTCCACACAGGAATCTAAACTCAGTACACTGATCGGCCTTCTTTAGTTCCCAGAACCCAAACGTAATAAGACATCTTTACATGATGCCAATGGTGAATTCAAGTTAGAATTATGTTTTAGTATCCCTACAAAGTCATCCAAATAATCTCTTCCTGGTGGAGGATAGGCTCTTTATTGTCATCCCCAACAAGTCATTACTATTGTTTTCTGGGTAGGGAATGATTTTCTTGTTATTTCCCTTGGAAAATTGGTTTCAGGTCTCCCACTTCCAGACGGGTTTAACAAGTTTCTTGATAAATTGTGACCACGGGAACTCTCTTGTAATTTTCATGTCATAATGTATGCGTTTACTTGATTATCCCACTTTTCAGTTCATAAAGCCTTTCCTTGTTCAGTTTCTATATGTGTTTTGATAAGTAATATTTTCTCAACTTCATTTCTTGATGTATTTGTCTGCATAGAACTTGGAGAGTATTAACTGGGAACCTAACTACTAAGGTGCAGAAAGTCACACGCCTTTGCATATGTATTCCACTACTATGTGTATAGGTGCAGGCTATTTTAGGACTTATAATCTGCTAATTAATTGGCCGCTGCTCCTATAATGCATAAGATTGTTTTTTTCGTCCTAGTTTTTCAGTAAATGGTCCAACAAGTCTACCTGCTTCTAGGTTGGATAGTTGTATAATTCTTACCTGCATTTGTTGGATCCAGCTATTTAATTGCATCAATGGGGCTTCAAGTTCTTTGGAGTTTGGGACTGGCTTGCCTTGATTTGCATGCTTTGAGGTCAAAGAGAAGCTTGCAGAATCCTGTTTTAGTGAGCCTATTTGTTGTTGGGGATTGGGTAAGTTTCTGGACTTATTCAATCATTGTTTGTTGCATATAGTTTTTGGAATAATGAAGCTTCTCCGAGGATCCTTTGCTACTCTTAACACTACTACAGTACGTAATGTTTGCTAAAATTATCTGGAAGAAGCATGAATGTCACTGTGAGGATGTTTTGATATGAAAATTGACACAGCATAATTTTGATTCTTAATACTCGGGGTCTGATGCATGAATGCCAAATTTTCCTTTCAGCCAATATGGAGCCATTTTAAGGTTTGATTGCGCTTTAATTCTGCTTTGTTTTATCTAGAAGTTGCAAACAGACTAAACAAAAGCAAAACACCTGGTCCCTTATGCATGCATGCACCAATCGAACAGTTTAATGATAGTTCTCCAATTGTTGTAGATAAAATTATGTTCTGGAGGCAGACGTGGAGTTTAATTCTTGTAACTATCGCGTTACTAGACAGATTGTTTACTTCGAATTTTGATTCTTCTGAGGGCTGGGGGTAAAAACACCAAGCAACTTCTTAATGTGTATTCTTCTGCAGGTGACAGCTATTCTGTCGTTGGCCGCTGCATGCTCATCAGCTGGAGTGACAGTTCTGTATTCGAGAGATTTGAATTACTGCGGGCCACCGGCACATCTTCCATGCAGCAGATTCCAAATTGCTGTTGCTTTCGCTTTTATCTCATGGTTCCTCCTTGCTGTTTCGTCCATTGTCATGTTTTGGTTGCTAGGTGCAGTATGAGTGACAACTTACACCACCATCACAGCAAACTTACATTATTCTTCAATTTTCCCCTGTAAATATCATGTTACACTTCAAAACAAATCAGTTTTGTTGAGAACACCTCACAATTATTTTTCCTGTTGTCTTCTGGATCCATAGATCTATAATCAAAGTGGGTTGGTATGAAGATTGTAATCATTTGCCCTCCATTATTGGCTGTCTTCTTCACTTTATTTTATTTTACTTGCTTGAAATTGCCAGAGTAAAGGTGTCATTTCACATGGTAGACCACACATACTTTTCCTTTTTCTTTGTTTTAAAATTCCCAATTTGTCCTTGTTCTTTTCACCAAGGAATTCCATGTTCTTTAATGATACATAATCAATTCAAAAGGCTTGATTGATTAGGATGGCTGGACTTCTCACGCCACATATAAAATGTAAGATAATAATCAGAACACCTAACATCGTTTGTTTGGTTCCCAAATGGCCAAATTTTCTGCTTATGTCACTCAGTAATGGCATTGTCTTGTGGTCCATTCCATGATTTAAGAAATAGGACTTACGATATTCTCTCACTAGAGAAGGATGTAATAGCTTATTAATTCATTCATTTTAGTTTTCCTTAAACAAGGTTTTGAATCCGCAGTTAAAGTTAAACACGCATAGTTTTTCATGCACCGAAGGTCTTGTGTTCAATTGACTCCAACTATGAAAGATTTCAGTTTTGCAAGTTTTGGGGCCGCCAAGAAAAATAATTTACACATAATCTATGCTGCCGACACTGGATTATGGAATCATCTCTCAGATCACAGTTCAGATACCAACACTGGAAGACAAGTGCCCACCACCTCTGTCGTAAATAAAAAAAGTATCCAACATCCCTAATTTAAAAATGCAAAAATGATATATTCATTAAAAAAATTCAACCTTGATAAGTTACACAGCCTGAATCCAGAGAAGCCGACCGATAATTTATTCCTATATACACTAAAAGCATACACAAGTTCTCACAACAATTTAGTCATGGAGGACACTGACTGACCCAAAACTTCAAGTTCAAGAACATCACATGGAAGGAGCAGCAGAACCTTTGCACTGTGTAAAAGAACAGAGATAAGGGAAAAAATAATAACACATATCAAACAAATAAACTTACTATCCTCCCTAGAAGCATTCTGTTGTGTGTAGTTTGAACATAAGCAACAGCACACACCCTACATTACAATTTCTGGCTTCAAAATGCTCGACTTGATTTCTTTGTGGGGCAAAACCACACCTCCATTACTGTAAATTTCATCGCTTACATGAACATCTTCTCCGAGGATAGTCATGTTCTCTACACGAGCCCATTGTCCAACTGTGGAGTGCCATCCGATGATACTGCCAGAAATGCAAGCATGCTTCTTGATCCGGACTCCACGCATTACTGTACAGCGAGATAGCCTAACTCCTGACTCAACAACGCAACCCGGACCAATTGCAACATCTGGTCCAATCAGGCACCCCTCTCCAATTTTGGCAGTCTCATCCACCAGAACATTTCCCACAACATGGGAGCCTCTGGCCAACTTAGATGAAGAGTTCTTCCTCAATGAGTCCAAGTAGAGTCTCAGGCCTGTAATATAATCCCTTGGTTGCCCAATGTCCATCCAAAACCCTGGAAGGACCATTGCGAAGAGCTTATTCTCTGCTGCAATATTTGGGAATACCTCTTTCTCAATTGAAGTTGGTCTCAGCTCAATTCGATCAAGAACTGAGGGGTTCAACAGGTATATTCCAGCATTGATTTTGTTACCAACAAACAGTTTTGGTTTCTCTACAAATTTCTGAACTTTCCCTGTAGATTCTTCCATAACCACCACTCCATATTTCGAAGGCTCATCCACCTACATGAAACAAAGAAAATATTTTCAGTGACATCCAGCTCAAAAAAATGCCTCCAAGGAAGATGAGTGCAAAGTATGAGGTAGAATTACAACTTCATGTTACCTTGGTCACCATTATGGAAGCTTCTCCTCCATGGGATTTATGGAATTCGATCATTTGCTTAAATGGGTACTCGCTGATAACATCACTGTTAAGGACAAAGAAGGGCTCGCCAGAATCATCTATCAGTTTGTCTCTAGCAAGAGCCAGAGGTCCAGCCGTGCCAAGGGGCTCAGTCTCTTGTGAGCATGTGATCTTGATGCCAACCTTTGCCTCAAACTCCTTCAGGAAAGTCATCATCACCTGCATAATGAGCATAAGCAGTCAAAGAAACTTCAGTGGCATGACTCTCTGAGTATAAAATTGAACTTTTCACAAAATAATGGCCTCATTTACCTCTGGTTGGTAATTGATCGCCAGAACCACTTCGCTAACACCAATTGCCTTAAGAGCCTCTATCTGGAAAACAAAAAACAAAAATGTATCAATTTACAATTTTATGCGCACAAGCGTGTATGTGTGGGGATTTGGGTTGGTAAGGGGAGGGCGCAAACTAAAGAATCATAAGAGCATGGATTAATCACATTATAAGATCTATATGGATGCTTGTACCTGATGCAGGATCATGGGTTTGTTTGCAAATTCAACAAGCGGCTTAGGGACACTGAGTGTCAATGGCCGCAAACGTGTTCCAAAACCTCCAACAAGAATGAGTGCCTTCATTTTGATATGCCCTTTGCTTTCCCTGATATCAATACATTCAGAATTTTACAGGCAGCTTGAACACAAGAATACAACCTAACATCGAGATTCAAATAATTTCGCATCCACTAAAATATCTAAAAGTGACAGGAAAAAAAAAAAGATGCACAACTATGGTTTAACTCATAACTGAAGGGAATTGACCCATTTAATCACCAAAGGGATTTACTTTTCTGGTTTCTCACATTGGTAAAACCAAATAGCTCTAAATTTCAGCGACCGACAAAACTAAAAAGCAGAAATTTCATACCAACACGATTTCACACGCAACTCTAATACCATACCAAATTAACTTGCACCTATTTTTAAGTTAAATTCTTTTAATTGGGAAAATTCCAAAAACAAAACAAAATAAAACAAAGGAGAAAAGATGTAACCAGAAATGACTCAAACCAAACAAAGTTTTATCTTTACTAAGTGGGGCTGACCATAGCAAGGAAAATGTTAACCCAAACAAACAAATCACAGAAACTCTACCAGATCTAATCCATGTAGCTCTTGGAGAACGAATTGAAGCAAAAATCTAAAATTCACAAACAAATCCTCAAAATTATTAACAATGCGAATTGAAAGAAATCAGAGCAATGAGGTTTTGAACCAATCAAAGCCAATCAACCAAATACACATTGTCAAATTCAGCTGCCGCAAACAAACGGACCGACAGAGAAAATGTCAAAAGTTTTGATCAACGCTTAAGAACGAAAGCTAACAGGAGTCAATTATTACCTCGGATCTCAGCAGATCAAAACCCGAACAGAGCCCGGAGGTTGAGCTCGGACTCGGACGAGTGGGAACCGGGTTGAAAGCGGTGAAGAGCGAGTTTTGGGCGAGTGGCGTTCACCCTAACGGTTTTTATCCGTCAGGGTCTGAGCTGTGCAAAGGCGTTGTTGTTGGTTAAGGAAAATCTCCCGTGGGATTTATATATATATACAATGTATACATACATACGCGGGATTATTATTAACGAACGTGGTTTTCTGGCGGATTTCAAATTAAAACTTTAATTGGAAATTTCCCTTCTGATAAAAGTGGGTCACGTCCGCTTGGCGGGTGTAGCTTCGGGGCAATTTCGTCTTTCGTCTGCTTCATATTGTGGATGAATTTGTACTGTAAAGTATAATTATTTTTTTATTTTTTGTGGGCGAAAATTATGGATTCTATAATGAGATAATTGGGTATGTGTGAATGGTCTCAAAATGGAAAAGTGTTAATTTTGATTAATAATTGGTTGTAGTAATTTGTGGCATACACTGGGCCAACCAGCATGCAGGAATGACGATGATATGAGTCTCAATCAACCAACATTGAAACAAATTCTTTATTATTATTTTTTAGGACACCTTGTAGGGTCACTTCGTATTATATTTCACTCATTCAAATCATCTATTTTGTAGATACTCATTCAAAGATCATCTCTATGAAAAATCACTTGAATCTGATATCATTTGAATACTCAATTGAATTATTAAAATTTAAGTACTTTCTTGAAGTACCGTGTTTATTGATTTTGTAGAACACAATTGGATATCGAAACAGTTTTCAATTTGTCTAATTTTTTGCAAAGATGATCTATGAATGTAGACTTAAAAAATAGATTGTTTGGATCATTGAAAAAAAAAAATTGTATGGGATCCTAAAGGGTGTATTGAGGAACACCCTTTAGGATCCCATACTATTGTAAATATGCAGAAAAATAAGGAGGGTTAGTACAAAATACATGGCGTATGTATAATAATAACGTTCGTATGTCTACATAGGAGAATTTCTGTATATATATATATATATATATTCTTTTTCCAATCAATCTCTCTCATTGGAATTTTTTTCAAAATTGTTACCATTTTTATGTAATGACGTGGAACTTCACTTACCATCTAAAAGTTGGAGAAATAAAATTTTGAGATATTAACAAGCATCTTTCGATTTAAAATATACTAGCATCTTAACTTGAGCACAGGGCCTGTTTGTTGTGGCTAAACCAACAATGACTTAAGCCCCTTTTTCTAGTAGCGTGCCTTTGTGATGATAATTCTCTCTAAATAAACGCAAACAAAATATTATTATATGAGTTGATAGCCTATAAAGATTGACAAATTCGTTTTGATTATATACGTGCATTGACTTTAATTTACAAATTGTCATTGAAAACTGTAATTTAATGGATTAAAGCTTTTAAAACCTTTTTTAATGTGAAAAATAAAATTACAAAGCAAAACCTCTTCAGCACGCGGGTCGAAAGAAGCTAAAAAAAGACAATAGTAACCTCTTGGTCATGCGGAAAATAGCATTTCCGCCGAAAAAGAAAGTATTTGAAGAAGACAACAGCAAGCGAGTCCGACGTGAAGTTAGCTTTCCCTGAAGCTCCTGAGCCAGCCTAGACTTTACAAACGTTGTAATTGATAGATAAACTGAAAAATATTAAAGGTTATACAATTTCAGATCCACTCTTTGTTTTATTATTTTTAGAAGAAAAAAAACCATATTTTATATGAAGTTGCAAGCTGAGGCCAGATCTGCCAACAGGGGCAACAAAGCATATTCCACATAATATCCATATGGATAATGCTTTTAATGCGAGGCCCACATAAAGTGTGTAAGTAAACCCCAAATCAAGGCCAAGTATATAAATAAATACAAATTCCAGCTAATTTCAGCCTTTAAACTTTGCTTGCCTCTCAAATAATTGCAATCATTAATATGCATCAAAACAAACCTCAATGAGAAATTCAACCACAAAGCATGGTTCAAACTAAAACGGAATTAAATTAAATAAATTAAATTCTCGTGATTTAATGTTAAATAAACCAGTTGGGTTATGCAAAATTGAAGGATTAAATTCATACAAATGACCTAATATTTAGTATTATTGGTTGACCTTTTGATGTTGGATCCCTTTAACAAAATAGCACGTCATCTACATTATTATTTGGTTACACTCCACTTCTAAGCATTGGCTTTGTGGCCAGTGGCCTGCCTAAAGTTGCAACCTTTACCTTTTTTAGTGTTATTAAACCAAACCAAATGGGCATGTATGTGAAGTCTCCAATTGAAGTAACAATTTGGCCTTTGCCAATGTTTGTCAAAAGAAGGTCATAGATGTTCTTCTAATTAAGGCTAAGCTATAGCTTCATAGTTTGTCAATGAGGTTGCATTAAGTATAAAATCACGAGTTAATGTCAGTTGTAAATGATGAGCACGTGAAGCTAGCACAATTATTGATCGTTGATCATAATTAATGATCTTACTAAATTCACTTGCCCGCCCATGTACGACGTCTGATGCTAGCATAATCCATAGAAAATCATGTGTCATAATTCCTTTGATGTCCTCCTTGCATAGGCATAGATGTGTAATGATCACTTTAAGTACAATCAATGTCATTGCTTGCTAGTTAAAATGGTGAGGACAAACCCATATAGTCTGCGGCTCCTGTTGTATACTTTGATGTATCTTTTGGCAAAAGGAGAAAACAATGTGTGTTTGAATCTGGTCTTATTTGGGCAAAGTATACGTGGGTCAAGAGTTTTAGGCTTTACTTCATATCGTTACCAACTTTCTTAACTATCAAAATATATAGACAAGACAAGCTACCATATTTTTGGTTCAAAAACATTTAGGGGGAGGCTGTATATAGTCTACTCTCACCACTAGCGTTAGGGCATACTTACAATCTCGAGCCGAAAGAACTTACGTGTGGCACCCAATTTCCAGCTGTCACCGGTATGGATTTATGTAGGAAATTACAAATCCCACACCAACGAGGATTGTTGACAGTAGGACTCGAACATTGGTGGGACTACACATAGTGCAAGGACCTTACCAACTGAACCAACCCTCGTTGATGACAAGCTACCATTTTTAGTATAAGGTTGGAATAATTAAGAAGTGTATGATATTAATAAGATGAGGTTAGAAGAATAATCAAAATTGAGAAATTAATTAGATGGGACGAGTTTTTTTTTTTGGGGGGGAAAATGGGGTCAAATTTGAGAAGGATCAAAACTAAGACTAGCTACCTCTTTGACCAGAAACCAAAATGGGTAATGATCAGAAGGATCAAAACAAGGACCAGCTACCTCTCTGACCAGAAACCAAAATGGGTAATGATCTGAAAGAGTTGAGTGCAACCAACTAATGAGAATTTACATTTTGACCCAAAAAATAGAAAGAATGAGAATTGACATCTTTTCAAGCTGATAATTTAACTCATTACAAACTCAAATGGTATGGTCATGATGACTCATGCTATCTTTCACAATTTAAAAAGACAGAAAAAACAAACACTTTTAATCATAAAGGACCTTTAACACAAACACCTTTAATCATAAAGGACCTTTTTCTTTATTTTTTCTTTTGAAGACAAGAAATCACAAGGGAAGCCCAGGGCCCATGCCTATCTCATTTCGCCAAATCGGCTTCTTTTTTTGACTTTTGTTCTCATTTCATGGTCTTGCACCAAAAGAAGAGAAACCCAACAAAAAAAGTATCTCTTCAAGGCCAAAAGCCCATCTACAAAACCCAATTACCCAAATTGAGCCCACCAAAGTATCCCATAGTTTCAAGAGTTTATTTGTTTATAGACCCTACCGCAAACTCAAACAAAACAAGAAGCTAGATCTCTACAGCCTTGGCTGTGGCAATGCTTGCAATGTACTCAATCTCCTCAACAACTTCTTTCATGGAAGGCCGGTTCTGTCTGCGTTCCTCCAAGCAACCCAATGCCAGGAACCCCAATGCCTTCATGGTGTCCAGCTCCAAAGTCTTGGCTCCCTCTTTCATCACAGGATCAATCACATCCATTATCCTCTCCTCTGCCATCATCCTCTGCGTGTAAACTGCCAGGTTTACATCATCCGCTTCCCTGGTGAAGTCTATAGCTTTCTGAGATGTCAAAAGCTCCAACAACACAACTCCAAAGCTATAAACATCGCTTTTGTCTGTCAATTGATAGTTCCTGTAATATTCAGGATCAAGATATCCAAGTGTTCCCTGAGCACATGTTGATATATGGCTTAAATCGGTTTGAGCCAAGCGGGATAACCCGAAATCAGCAACCTTGGCATTCAGCTTCTCATCGAGTAAAATGTTGCTAGACTTCACATCGCGGTGGTATATTGGAGGGACTGCTGAGAAATGGAGATAGGCAAGACCCTCGGCCGTGTCATGAGCAATTTGTAGACGCTGTGTCCAGGACAGATGTTTCCAGCCTCCGGCTTTTCGAGCTTGCAAATGTTCGAGAAGAGTTCCATTCTCAATGTACTCGTAGACCATAATTGGCTGCTCTAGCTCAACGCAACAACCAAGTAGGTGAACAAGGCTCTTGTGGTTAACTTGGCACAGAATCCGGACCTCATTGAGGACTTGGTCAGTGCCTTTGGTGTTTCCAAGCTTGGCAATCTTGACAGCCACCACAGTGCCATCTTCAAGAAATCCTTTGTAGACTTCACCGTAGCCACCGGCGCCTAGGAGGCGGTCTCTGGCGAAGCTGTTTGTTGCCCTTTTGATCTCTTTTCCGGTGAAGACTTTTGCAGCTCTGCCTCCATTGGCATTCAGGATCTCTTCACGCTCTTTGGTGAGGCGAGCTTGAGCTTCCTTGATGCGTCTGTGGCGCTTGTAGAGTAGAATGGCAATGGTGGCTGCAACTAGTGCTGCACCAATCCCAGAAGTTAAACCTGCACAAGTTCCAGTTTCCTTCTTATTACCACCATAGATATAGATTTCAAGTCACTAATCAAAATGCACCCTTGGCTATGATTTGTCACCATTTTTATTCTGAGTTATCATCTAAAAAGCAAAAACAGATTAAACTAGAATGTAATTTTTATCCATGCCAATTTCCATATCAGAAATCAAATAAATATAAAATTTGAAACTCATAGTAACTTTAATGTCACATTTTGTTTCAAATTCAAAACTCCATTTTGATGACCAATTAGCAGGATTTTACATCAACAAACCAATGGCTTTAATGTGAGTGGAATTTAACCCAATCCATACCTGCTATGAGTGCAGTATTGTCCTTTGAACCAATGCTATCTGCCAAGAAAGAAAAGTCAAAGTTTCAAATATTTAGTCAGCCAAAACTAAGTTTTCACAAAGTCAACGAAAAACATTGACCAGCCACGCAAATAAACAAAACAACAACACGCAACTCACCATCAACACATAACCCAGCCACAGGGTCCCACACAAGGCCAGAGTCACAGAAGCACCTCCTCACCCCAGCGACAGCCGGGTCGGGCCCACACGTCGACTTCCCTCCATCGCTCTCACAATCCGCCTGGGTCCCGCACACCGGCTCCCTGGGAGCCACCCACTGTATCTCCACTCCCGGTTCGGGCCACCTGTCAACGGGCAAAACCGGATCCAAATTCACAAAACTCGTGTACGCGCTGCAACCCGAGTCACTGACCCGAATCATATACGAGGTCGACGAACCGCCCGCCCGAAAAGTGCAACAAAGCGGAGCTGCCTCGCAGGGGCCCACCGCCCTGGCAGTGCTTCCGTTGACGTACGAGTGGCAGAGGCTCGACGACGTGCAGTTCAAAGGCGATCGGAGCAGAGTGTCCGTACAGTTGAGGTACAGGATGGTGTTGCTGCTGGTGACGTTGAAAGGGAGCGAGTCGTTGAGCTTGAGGCCCTGGTGGGTTATATCCGATGTGACGCAGGTGTTGGAGACGAAGCTCGAGGGCCGGACTACGAGTCGTTGGGAGGAGGGGGAGATGGAGGTGATTGGGTAGGAGTTGTTGAGGGTGTCGAAGACGAGCGCGCCCGCGTCGCACCTGATCTTGTACGACTGGTCGCCGCACGTGGGGGCTGTGCTGAGCGGGTAGGGCACGGAGGTGTTGCCGCAGTCTGGGCAGCGCTGGATGCACAGTACGCACCAGGCGTACGTTAGCAGGAGCACGGCGGAGAGGAGGAGATTGGGCGCAGAGGCCATTTTTGAAAGACTGAGAGAGAGGTTGAGTGGTGATCGTGTTTTAAAAGGCGGTTGGTGGATTGGGACTGGAGGGGGTTTTGTAAAGTGGGGAAATTTGGTAGGAAATGTAAAGATTCCTCAGCTTTGAATTTTGTTTTGGTGGGAAAATTTTCTGTCGTCTTCTGACATTTTTGACGAATTAAATTTTGGGTTTGACCTTTGACTAGATTTCTTATTGTCTGGCTGCTCATGAAATTGAGTGCGGGTTAGGACAGTTACCGTGCATTTACAATCAAGTTCGAATCCATCCCGTAAATTAATTTACGTTATCGCTTATATTTAAAAAGTTTGATAATAACATATTAACACATAAATCCAAAATTTGACACATATTACATGTGTCAGCAAAATAGTCTCCATTTAACATTTTCCACTTTTCTTACATCTTTAGCTCGATGAGTCAATCAGAAGAAAATATCTCATTTCTAGAAATCAAAAAGAAAAGATACAAAAAATGCGGCCAGTTGTTTTTGAAAAAACTTGTAAAGAAGACATTTTTAAAATGGAACATAATCTTGAGAAAGTGATACGCAGATATGACAACGTGGTGAGGTCGAGAGCTTTCATCTAGAAGACCTGTGAAAGTCTTCTCTTTTGCTCATCGCGGCATGGGGGATGGATATGGAAGAAGACTTTGAATTGAATAATGGCAAACCTGCAAATTTCAACAACTTGCCATTAAAAAAGTCTTAAAACACAAGACAATAATGCATCGCCCCTAACCAATGAGCTCAGAGAAGTGCGTACTTCTGCATTGCTGATATGGATCAATATATAGTGGCATTCATTTTCCAAAACAAAACCAAGAAACAAAAGGAAGAACAATTCACTCACATTTCGAAACAATTACATAATTTCAAATTTCAAGGCGTTTGATTACATCACAGCTACTTCCAATTGCATAAAATATAATATACACAATGGATTGAAAATGTTGTACATCTTGGAACTGATACACATCATGGATCATAACCGTATCAGAGATCAGGATCGGGGCAATCGTGAAGAACCACTGCCATGAAAGAATGAGCAGTACATGCATATACATACATAATACATATGCATATGTATATACAAACTACTGTATGTACATGTTACTCAATAGCTACCAGCTGTTCAATGAACACTACCTAACAAAACTGTACCATGGCCTCCGGACTAGAAGAACTCAAGTGGGTTCAGCAAGTAGCAAGGTATGCCACCAGCCACATGCCACATTTTTTGGCACACATCCATCAATTGTGACTTGAGCCGGAATGTTGCGGTCGATCACATCACCCAAGCCAAGCTGGCCATTTTCACCCAAAAACCAGTGTTAGACTTGTAAGGAAATACAAGAAATGACAACATCAGTGCAAAATACATTTCATAGCATGATATGGCGTGAAGTATTTATTAATGACAACTGAATCATACCTGACCGTACTTGTTCCATCCCCAGCCGAAAACTTTACCATCGTCTTCATGAAGCAGGAGCATAAGAAAGGATGAAACACAGATAAGTAAGAATCCCTTTAGGTGACAATTCACATAAGTTTAAATTTCAATCATCTTCTATATTGAAATTATGATGTCAAAACTGTAATGTCTCTATGCATGCTTGATTGAGACCTACTGATAGTTTTGTAAATTCAAATTACCATTACTGATATTTCCACCTACATCGATATTTTCATCCTTAATACCTACACAACTTTCACTATAGTTGGTGTTCCCAACCCATATAGACTTGGGAATTTTCCAAGGACTTGTGAAGGCTCTTATTAGTTGGACGAAATTTCTGTTTTTCTTTCTCCACCTTTCATTTCCTGTTGTCTGGGCTAATGGAGACGCACACATACAACCAAACATATGGAGGTAATCATATTTTCATAACCACATTAAGATTGGACTCCATTTCTTATTAAGCATAAAGAAAGATAAAGTCACTTATCAAGTTATCATAAAAGAGTACGGGAGCTTGTCAAAGTGGAAGGTAACATACCTGTGATTATGGTACTATGACGTGCTCCACAGGAAACAATCTTTGCATTTGTATTTTCCAGACTTGGAGCATCCAAAAGTCTTGGTATAGTCTGGTTTGCAATTCAAGAAAGTTCAATTGGACAATTTCTCTAATAACAAAGACTATTTGTCAACATGAAAGCTATAATGCAGCCAATGAATATTGGTAATGATGATTTGAAAGTAATACAAAAAGTAGCCACATCAAGATGATTGATTAATCTAATTTATGTTACCCTACCAATATACTATCACCATTTCATGGTAAAGTAAGCACAAAATTAAGTTACCATCTCGTTTGGTATTTGCCTGAACGGCCAATCTATGAATCAAGAAAATCATATCACATTCTAGTAACCTTACGTCCTCTCAATTAATGAGAAGATAGTAAACTTAAATTTACCTCAGCTTGATCAGCTCCAGTTCCCAGCTGTCCAAACTGATTCCCGCCAAATGCATAAACATCACCATCAGCTGAAATGCAGACAGTGTGCCACAGTCCTGCAGCAACACCCTCTATCCGGATACCCAGTAGTGAAGATACACAAACCGGGCTTAATTCGTCATCTGTGCTTCCTTGCCCACACTTGACCAAAACAAAAAAATGACAAGGAAATTAGTTTTACACCTTGATTTTTTACTCGCCAAACTGTGCAGCAACAGTGCAACATAGGTAATATTGAGAAGGAACAGAATAGATTAATCCCTTTCGAGTGAACCTCATCTTGAGCACCTACAGTGCTTTTTCTCCACCATTCCTACATTACCTACATATTGATACCATAGAATGGTTAATATTTGGGGAACTCCAGCCAGTGTTGGCGATGGATGGATACATGGATTAAAAATTTAGACATTCCAGCTGAATTAGTAGACCAGTTACATTTTGTTGAGGCACTATAGCGAAATGGTTTTATACAATGGTGCTTATAATTAACAGTTTTAAGATCAATAAACCAAATCCATTACGATCAATGACTTTTCACTATCCAGAAATCAGTTGGGCAGAAGGATGAAATACAACTAATCCACATCAATGCTGTTCCCAGTAAAGAGAAAATATTTCCACAATAATAGTTTCAAGAAGAAGAGAAAGCATAAGGCAAGGAGGCATTCTGAGCAAAAGAGTTCAGTAATGAAGAAAACTCACCTGTCCATACAGCCCCCAACCAAAAGTAAGTACTGCTCCAGCATCTGGAATGCAATAAATCACCCAAAAAAAATGTAAAGACAGCTAAAAGGCCACAATCTAGGCATGCAACCATTTAACACCTCAGTCGTACTACATGTTACACCAACCATAAGTAATGCTGATCCTGTCATAAATCAATTCTAACTCCCAACTCATACAGTGTATAACTATGTAGTCTCAAAAACGGCTTCCATAATTCCAATGACTGATAATCCTCCTGCGCTATGTCTACCAAGTATAGTCAACTTAGTTTAGCAACAATTGTGGTTTATTCTTCCTTACGTTTAGTCTGTTACTTCTTACATCTCACATATTAAAGGTAAAAATACCAATTGAGTATTTGAGACTAATTACAGACCTTGTCAGTAACATAGAAGTATTATCCAGCTTCGATTCCCTTGCATAAACATGATTGGAGAAAGAACTCAAGATTATTACCTGTGATTACTGCACTATGTCGCCCTCCACATGCAATCCCTTTCACATAATTACCAGGAACTCGAAGACCAAGTCCCTCCGAACCCATGGTTCCTCGAGGCAGTGCTGCAGATCTATCTTTTCCATAAGAAGAGGACTCAGTGCAAGGTACAGGATGAGGAGAGGACACCATACGTATCCGGGAGCCCAGACCAAGCTGCCCTTCACCTCCATAGCCCCATCCCCACACTTGTCCTATATCTGAAACTTTTGGAAATCAGGACACATCATATACATTGCTTTAAATAATAGATCTCCTATATTTCTAACTTGATAATGCATTCCACACCTTATTCCATGACAACAATGCAAAGAGACTATGCATCATATACAAGGATAAATCAAAGCAGGGCAAAAGTACCTGATAATGCCAAAGTATGGCGCCCTCCAGCAGCAACAGTGGCTATTCTAACTCCTGGGTTCAATGTCACAAGGCATGGCAATGCTGAGAGAGGTTCATCACCAGATGATGAACTTTCAGCCGCTTGCTTTGCCGAAGATAATCTTCTTCGCTTTGTACTTTCTTCTCCAGATCCTCGAGGATCACTAACAGAAAATGCCCCGCCAGTGGATTGTGAGCCTTGAGAGCGAGGGCTAACTATATCATGACCAAATATAAGTCAGTAATGGATGAACAAAATCTTTTGCCATTGTCATGACAAAGAGGCCAAAATTAAATTACCTTGCTCGTTCAAATAAGAACTCTGCCTTTCAATTGCATCCTTTTCAACGTTTGCACCCATAGGTTGCTCTCCAAGCAACTTTCCAGACGGAACACACTCTTTCCATCCCCATGTGTAAACTCCTCCAATATCTGCATTGAAACTAAAATTTCTTGAATGGATCCAGTACGCATAATAGCTTAAAAATGATGGAAAATAGATAAATTGAAATCGCTTCCATAATTGAACCAGGTGGTCTATTCTTGTGTGCTTAATTCGCACCCCCTTGGTGTCTTTTAAAGAACTAACTTGTCAGAAAGAGAAGTGGGAGGAGCGGGGGGAGTTACCAAGCTGGATGGCTTGGTCTGCTTCTAAACCATTACTCACTAGGTTGATCAAAATGGAGCTAGGAAATCAATATTACCTGTGACTGCAACACAATGAGCCCAACCGGCGGCAGCTTTTACTATAGAAGCATCAGTTGGAAGAGGAAAAGGCTCCGGATTTTCCTTAACAAGTGAAATTTAAAAGAACGCTGGTTAGTTCCACCAAGAAGCAAAAGAACTCAATGACAATGAATGAACTAAGTATTGTGAAGTGCTCCATTACCCCATGCTTCCCAGATGTCACATAGCTTTGACCTAGATCATCTGTTGAACCCCATGTAATAATCTTTCCATACTCTAGGTGAAAGTATAACAATGAAGAATCATGAGCAAAACGAA